ATAATTTTTTCTATTCCCATGTGAAAACAGCAATTATATTTATTAATCTAGTTTTAATAAACATAGTCGGGAAATAATACTTTGACAATAACGGAAGTAATTTTATGGTAATAATTAACTATATATAGATGTCGCAAAATGTTTATTTGTAAGAAACAAGTTCTCGACCTTTTATATTTTATTATAACCCTTAAATGAATATGTCTTGACAGATAATACTGGGTTTCAAATGAATTTACTCTTTGACCTATCCCTAAGGGGATCTCAATTGAATCTTTCGAGGAAAATAAAAGTTGTTGGATAGTTTTGAAACATACATCGATCGACTCAGCTTTTTATACTGAACACGAATCTGACATTGGATTTTTTTTATTTGAAGTAGAACTCCAAGACAAATACTCGAAATACTACCAATTTTTAGTCAAAATCAGTGCTTCAATGACAGTCTCCGCCACCATGAAATGTCTTCCCCTAATTATTTTTCAATTATAATAAGTGGATTTTGTAGCTAATGTAAAGGGCTTTTTATGATAAAAAAATGGTAATATTTGCTCTTGCCATTAAAGAGATCGAAGATCTACACTGGACGCGTCTAGTAGTCTAGAGATGGTTTTTCGAGATTTTTGAAGTCATATTTCGATTATAAATTCGGAACGACTAAAGCCAAAAGCTTGATATTTATAGCAGTGTTAGAGGATCATATGACCTATTAGTTGAAGTAAAAAAAAAATCGTTTTTTCTTGTTGTTTTCATATAAAAAGGAATGATATATCAGATTGATCATGAAACCAATCTAGACTCAAAAACAATGAATATTGACCTTGTGCCAACTTTTTATTCATCCGTGAAAGAATAGTTGGTCTCGTCATCGAAAATGCTTATCTCAGCATGATCTTTAGTTTGATATAAGATAATAGGGGGTCCTGTCGAAAAAAGTCCTATGGACCGATGTAAGACTTTATCATCTTCCCTCCTTTCCAAATGTATGATTCGGTATACTTATCAAATAAATTTAACACTCGTATCCAAACCCACATTCATACTTCGTACTTAAATGTCATAAAAAATATGAACCTGTTTGAGAATTGTTGTTAACTATTTTAATAAAGATAAGTAGATAAGCTTGACGTTAAAAGTAATATTGTCAGATGTTTAAATAATTCTTATCAGTTACAAAAAAAAAATGTACTTTCAAGAAAGAGAAAGAAGCACATACATGATAAGCGTGATAAATTGATGATATTCAAATTAGTCATTAAAATTCATCATAACTTCTCAAGCCTTAAGAAAACTATATAAGGAGAAGAAAATTAATTTTATATTAATATTAAAATAAAAATGACAGATAAATCTAATAAAGTTTTCAATGGTAACAATCTTTCTCAAGCTGAAAACACTAATGAGAATTACAAATGGAAAGGTATCGAAAACAATTTATTGTTTTCTTAATCTATTTTGCTCATTTAGATATGAATTGAAAAGATCGAATTAAATTCATCATTATGTTAATATTAAGATTAATTGGTTTACTTGCTTTATTATATTTATTTGTTTGTTCACTTGATTTAATGAGTTCAGGTTTCGACTTATTGGAGGTTAAACATTATTTTCAAAAAAAAAAAAAAAGAAAATTCTTTATAAATAAATATTTTTCGTTAGGTAAAATAACAGGGAAAGTTTTTGCTGAAGGAGCAATTCTTTCAAATCCTATCGCTGGATTAATGATTGGTTTATTAGCAACGGTTCTTGTTCAAAGTTCATCAACATCAACATCAATTGTTGTATCAATGGTTTCATCATCCAGTAAGTTTTCATTCGTTGACAAATAATATTTTTATTTCGTAAAAAATCTTAGTTTTGCCCGTTAAACGAGCAATACCAATCATTATGGATAACATAATATTTAAATAAATTGAAATAAAATTTGTTACTTCTATTGTTTTCTAGGAGCAAACATAGGTATTCTATTAATAAATACTAATCAGAGGTAAATGTTCAATACCTATTTCTATTTGATAGGCACATCTGTAACCAACACATTGGTGGCTTTAACACAATCAGTTTGTATTTTATTATTTATAAGATCAAATCAAAATTTGTTTTCTTTTTTAAGGGAAAACGTGAAGAATTTAGTCGTGCATTTGCTGGTGCAACTGTTCATGATATGTTCAATTGGTTAACAGTACTTATATTATTACCAATTGAAATAGCTTCAGGTAAATTAAATAAGGATTTTTCATTTTCGAATATATTTTAATTGAAATAAATAAATTTAGATATGCTATATCATTTAACTAATGCAATAACAAAATCAATAAATTTAAAACGAAATCCAAATTCTAATCCTGAATTTCTTACTGTTATAACAAAACCATTAACAGAAAGAATTGTTCAAGTATATTATTCAAAAAAATAAAACTTTTTAATAAATATGAATTTTTGTTTTTTATTAGCTCGATAAAAAAGCTATTGAAAGTATAGCATTGGGTAATGCTAGTGCAGATATATCTTTATTAAAACGATATTGTTCATTTAAAAATGAAAGTGACAATGGTACATTTATTCAAGTTCCAGATAAATATTGTTCATTTTTATTTGCTAAAGTTCAATGGGCTGATTGGCTTATTGGACTTGTTTTATTGATTATTTCAATCATTTGTCTTTGTCTTTGTCTTTTTTTACTTGTTAAAATTCTTCAATCATTACTCAAAGGAACAGTGAAAAATATCATATTTAAAGTAGTTAATACAGATTTTCCTGGAATGTTTAAACATTTAACACCATATTTAGCTATTCTTGTAAGAAACAATTCTTTAATGAATATAAAATTAATTTATTTAATTTGAATAGGTTGGATGTATATTAACAATATTAGTTCAAAGTAGTTCAATATTTACATCAACATTAACACCATTAGTTGGTCTTGGTATAATAACAATTGAAAGAGTTTATCCATTTACAATAGGTTCAAATATTGGTACAACAATAACTGGTATTATGGCTGCATTAACTGCAACTAGTGAAAAAGATTTAAGAAATTCATTACAAATAGCATTGTGTCATACTTTTTTTAATATTATTGGTAAGATAGATCTTCAATATTTATATTTTATATTCTATATATATATATATATATGAATAATTAAAAGGAATTTTAATTTGGTTTCCAATTCCATTTATGCGATTTCCAATTCCAATGGCTAAAAATCTAGGTGAAATAGCAGCTAAATATCGATGGTTTGCTGTTCTTTATATAGTCTGTGCATTCTTTCTTATTCCTTTGATTGTTTTTGGTCTTTGACTTGCTGGATGGTAAGTTAAATATTAGATTTAATATTATATTAATTATATGTATTAGGTATGTTTTTGGTGGTGTTCTTGGTCCAATAGTGTTGATTATTATCTTAGTTATTCTAATAAATATTCTTCAAAAATACAAACCAAATTTTTTACCAGCTCCATTACGAACATGGTTATGATTACCAGTTCCTTTTCGATCACTTGCTTTTTATGATCGATGTTTATTTGGTAAAAAATGTTGTCGATGTAAGAAAAAAGTTCATTCAATGACAAATGATGAAAATATTCATAAAAATGAAACTTATATTGGTGATATTGAAGAATATCTATAGCATACATTATCATAATATTCATTCACGTTACTTGCACATTTGTCGACGAATGAATGTTAATCAAAAAAAAATATTTTGTTTTATTGTATATTTATTCAAAAATATTTAAAGAAAGTTCATATTTTAAATGAATCTTCTTTGAAAAATTTGTAAATAAATAAATATGATTATTAAGTACAAGAATTTAATTGTTCTCATTTATTTAGAAAACAAATATAAATCTCTTATTTAATTGATTATCTATAAATTAATTATCTTAATACGAATGAAAAAGAAAAGAAATTAATTAGAAAAACAAATAAACAAAAGAAGCGTAATGATAAATGAGAAAACTATAATAGAAAAATCTATCCGACAAAATTT